GTTGATTAACTTGCATGTGTATTTAGGAATTTCCTGTTTCTGGGTAAATTGTATTAACTTATTTGTTTACTTAAGGTGTTAACTGTATATGTTTACCCTGCTCTGTATTCAGGAATGTTTACCAGCCTGTCTGTCGATTCTGGCTGTGTATTCAGGATATTAACCGCCTCTGTTTAGAATAGTTTTTGATTAACTTGTTCAAAGGAAGGTCCCGATAATAAACGGGGGCGAGAGGACGGTCTGGAAGAGTTCTCACTGAACAGCATGCTAGAGAGCACGCTGTTTAATTCATCCGGATCCCACCCTGAAACACACACCCGAGCGCTCGTCTCCTTTCTCCTTGCTGGCCAAGAGGGGAGGGAGGCTTCATCTGCAGATCCCGAGAGAGGCTTCATCTGCAGATCCCTACAATGAGTTTCATCTGCAGATCCCAACATGGGTCTCCAGATGTTCTTGGACTAAAACTCCCAGAAGCCTTCACCATTAACTGTGCTGGCCAGGTTTTCTGGGAGTTGAGGTCCAAGAACATCTGGGGCCCCAAGGTTGGGAACCACTGCTCTATATAAAAGGCCAAGCAACCCAGAACAGTAGTGAACTTTTTTTGTTTTTTATATAGTTGTGTATTTCCACACACATGCTGTTTTCTCATTTCATGGAATCCAGTTGCCACATGCTTTTGTAAGTATTTCTTTCTACACTAAAAGTTCACTGCCCTTTGACTAATGCTTACACAGTATTTTGCACCATACCAGGGATTCTGCATTTAGTTGGGTTGTCTTTCGTTTATATTTGTCCTCTGTGGGTGTATTTTAGTTTTGTTTACAGCACTGTCCTTTGATTTTCATGTCGTTTTTTATAGTAGCTTACTTTGTGGTGATCTTTTCCCTACTGATTTATCTTTCCATTATAAAGGTTCCTCTTCTTGTTCTCCCCATCTGTCTACTATAGTGGGCTAGAGAAAACATCTTCCATCGCAGTATTTTATTTTTCTGATGAGCATATTGTTTTTATGCTCTGCCTCACTGATTTATACTCTTACTGGGAAGGCGTATATGGAGTCTCCCCTTAATAGTTCAGACCATTTTTATGATTGTCAGTTGTTCTCTTTCTTCTTTGTTTAATTCTACAAAAGAGGATTTTTTTCACCTTCAAAACAACATTGTCCTTGTTGAAAAAAAATATTCAGATATTATTTTCATTTACTAATTTACTTCAGAAGGATTTTTCTTTCGAAAGTTGTTGGCATAGAAATACAGGTGAAGAGGAGATGAAATGAAATGATAAACAAAATAAAGTTTTCAACCTCATTTGATTGATTAAGTATCTGGCCTTGAAGAAACTCATTAGTCACCCAAGAAAATATATTGCTGGATGCCAGTATTAGTGAGAATTTGAGAATATTTAATTAATGAATTGATTGACTTACACCCATACCTAATTTAATTTGGAGATGGGAATCTTGCTTTACTTGAATCTATGGATGTTGTTGTTAAGTAGAAACCAACTTTCAACATAAATGAGATATTTAAGGAGTGGTTTTACCAGTTCCACCCCCCAGTGAGTTTCCATCACTGAGCAGTGATTTGAACTCTGGTCTTCAGACTCCTAGTCCATCACTCCATCCACTCTACACCACACTCTGTATCTTTATCAACAGATGTAGGTGTGTACTATATTTGCTAAAGAGTATCTTTGGGATATTTAAGGATCATGTTCTGTTAGTTGTAAATGGAAGTGGGATGTTTTCACAGTTCTTGTATCAATATATTCGCAAAGGCTTTCACAGCCAGGTTGTTCTGGGTTTTTCGGGCTCTTTGGCCGTATTCTGAAGGTTGTTCTTCCTGATGTTTTGCCAGTCTCTGTGGCCGGCATCTTCAGAGGACAGCAACCTGTATCTTGTATCACTTTATTACTGGATAGCAATTGGTGGTCTGTCAAGATCATAGCCTTTATTTATTTTTATTTATTAAATATAGAGATGGGCATGAATCACTCAATGCGGTTCAGCAGTTCAGTGACACAGCTATTCTGTGGGTGCCCCAGCTTCTCATCCCTACCTCCTCCAATGGGTGCACACCCAGTAGCAGTGGAGTGGCTTCGTAGCCCTACCTCCTCTGGGGACTGAGTGGGCACCTGCCAGAGGTGGCTTGACTGGGAAGCCACACCACTGCCTTTGATTGGGTGCTCACTGGAGGAGGTGGGATAAGAGAAGCCAGAGAACCCATGGAATAGCTGTGTGGCCAAACTGCTGAACTGTGGTTCATGCCCATCTCTAATTAAGACTAAAGATCTGTAGAAATCTCACTAGATTGTGTGATGAGAGAGACTGTCTTGACATGCTGAGACAGCTTGTCAAACACCTGTTAACCTCTGTGAGATTTCTTGCCTTCAATAATTGAAAGACTCTAGTCCTTTTTGCTAGGTTTTCTGCATTTTTTGCAAAGCGTCTCTGAACAAAGTGAGCATCATTTCCCATGCATGCAGAGCAAACATAGCAAAACTGGATGATAGATTAAAGGTTTGCAAACCTGTCCAATGTCTCAGGTTTTTTAAGTCCATGCAGCTTGCAAAAAATTCATCTTACAATTTGTCTAAGAACACAATCTTGTCAATATGAAAACTGATCTTGCAGTGTGTCTAAAAATAATTTTTGCAAAAATGAAAATTCTCAACCTCTTGCTTTCTTGCAGGTGAGAATTTTAGTTGCCTCTCGTTCTTATGAGTCAAGTGAAGCTTTGTATCCCCAATTAAGATTTTTTTCACTACCACTTTTAATTCAAAAAATCCTAAAGTAGTTTACATCATTAGTGTATTGTTTACAATATCTAATGGCAGCACATGCTCAGATGAGATTCTATCTGAGCACCATAAAGCAGCTCTCAGTTAAAGGAAGAAAAGACAGGAACACCATCCATAACAGCTGAGAAGCCACTTTAGTCAGCAAACCAGGAAGTGACTCACCATTGTTACACTCCAAATAACTCTAGAAAGGTCAAGCCAATTCATTTCACAGAGTAAGGAGAAGCAATATATTTTGCTGCTTCCCACTAACTATGAATTATACTACTCTTGCTCCCTTGTTCTCCTCTGCCTTTGCTTCACCATGCCCTACCCATGATTTTACAGGAGCTGAGTATGACCAGACTGGCAAATTTAAGTGCAGCAGTGATGATTATTCATTAATGTTCTTGTGAATCTGGATTCATTTCCAGCAGTTCTCAGCAGGAATCACACAGCAGTCCTAAGTCCAGCAGAAGTTTCACTGAAGTTATCCTCCTTTGTAAACCTTGGATCTGGATTTCTCTTTTAGTCTCTGTTGCAATCATTTTTAGCTTCAAGAAAATGAAGCACCAAGGCTTTATCATCTTCCCACGGGCAGACTGATCTGAAACTGGAAGCTAATCATTTCCCAATTGTTAACAATATTAGCTCCATCATTATCGCATGTATCTGTAGATCTCTAATTTTTTTGGTGAAACATGGTACAAAACATAACCACTGTAAAATAAATATTTGAATTGATTGATTCCAAAGACAGCATGTACAATATCACTCATTGATTGTAGTCTGTGGTTGAATGCCATACAATAACACAAGGAAATTTATCTTTCAACAGTTTCTTAACTCCAGAAGCATTTTCTAAGATCACAGCTGCACTATCACAAGCAATAGAAACCAAATGTTCATTCAGATACTCCTGAAAGAATGGAGCTGTTGGAGGACAGATGTGACACTTTGATTTGCTATGACCTTATCTAGTTCTTATCTAGTTAACAAGACAAGAAAGGAATACTCATTGCATAGTTTGGGACAAGAACTCATACATACAAAATCAAATTCTTTTTTTTTAAAGTGATAGTGCTTGCTTCTTCAATGATTAAGAAGATCTTGCTATTAGATGTTATTATTCTTTCAATCACATTATTTCTCATGTTTTTAGCTTTTTGATTGACAATGGACAATATAAGCTGCATCAATACCATTACAAGTTAATTCCATCTCTGAAAGTCTTAAAGGAATGATTATTTTTGACCACATTTATATGATGTGTGAAATATCTTAACTATTATATATTTTTCAAGAGAGATAGATTTCATCTCTAGGGTTTGCGTCTGTGTTTCTTCTGCTGATGTAACAGCAGTTTTATGATGTGAACTTTCTTTATGGTCAACTTTTCCCCCATAAAGATAACTTCCGATTCTGCATTTTGCCATCATGAGAGATTTCATGATTGCCCAGTTTTATATTTTCTTTATCCCCCTCCTTCCTAATTCCAAGTATTCCAACATTTTGGCACTGCATGAAACAAAGTTTCTCATTTTTTACAGGTAACTAGTCATTATTTCAGTCTGAAATCATTTATTTGTTCAGATGCCCACCAGCTGGCCCAGTTTGTACTTACATTTCTGCCTTCAGCACAAGAAGATGGAGATGCCATTGGGATTTGATTTGATTCCACTGTTCCAGTCTTTTAACATAATTTCTGTTTTTTTCAGCATAGGAAGTAAACAATAATTTGCATTTTTTTCAGACTACCCACCATCCCAGTTTATGTAAAGAATGCCCCAAATCACATGAAACCAGCCAGATTCTGATGGAAGACTGTGGTTCTTAGCTGCCTGGAGGTTTGCTGTGGCTGCGGGCCCTATTTAGGAGCTGAAGGCCTTGGTCATTGAGTACTAATTAATCGGATTATTTAGAAGTTCTAGACCTTAAAGCAAGGTTGTGGATCAGGGAGAATAATAATGAACATATTTGAAATCAGGAAAAGGTAATGGAATTCAGCTCTGTCAAGGAATTAATAGAAGAATAGGTACTGGAACTCAGTTGATTTACCATACATCCACTAAATGCACGAAAGCATTCATTTGAACAACTCTAAATAGAAGATGTAATTTGTTTCAATGCATCAAGTCTTCTGTATTTAGATCGAATTATACTGGTCACAGGTAACGTTTTGTGGTCATATCAAGCTATTTCTGTGTCCTTTTCACTGTTAGGTGGCAACTATTACAATAATGATCCAGAGCAGATGGAAGCAGTGCAGGCAGAGAGATCAAGCCGTATTTTGAAGAGGTTTATAACAGCCATTTTTCTCAGGTAAACAAACACAATTGAATTTTTAAAACACATTTTTCTTTGCTGTCAATGAACTGGCAGATCAAATGAATGGTTTGAAGTTTGTGAGGACATGCTTTGAAAAAGTCTCCCAGTCTTCTTCACTGTTTTTGAAACAAACTAACTCCCAAGGAATTGGGAGTTAGTTTGGCCAAACTCCGGGAGGCAGTGGAAGACCAAACTCCGGGAGGCAGTGGAAGACAGGAGGGCCTGGCGTGCTCTGGTCCATGGGGTCACGAAGAGTCGGACACAACTTAATGACTAAGCAACAACTCACAAGGAGTAGAATGAATCGACAAGGGAGAGTTTGGCTGTCATGTTTTCAGTATGTTTCCTTAAAAAATTGAGAGAGAGCAAAAAGAAAAGCAAAGAAACATATAGGAAGGCTTAATTATTCACTACTTAGTGCGTAACAAATATAGCATCACAGAGGAAATACAGCAGCAGAAAAAATTAGATTACATTAAACATTTTATATCTCATTGGAGACCGGCATGCTTAAAAGGTATGTTATTACTTTATTGCAGCTAATTCTGAATGTTTACACTAGGTTTAACACATTTTCATTGGGTAGAATAAGAAAAATATAGCTTCAACAAAATCAGAGAAGAAATACATACCTTTTCCCAGTTATAAAAATTGATAAAGAGCTGGAAAATACTGACCAGAAGCAAAACTAATGTGAACCCCATGAAATAATGATAAATGCAATGAAGCTATAATTATTATGACTGAAAGGATCATAAATGTAAAACAGCATTGTTCAACCATATTTGACATTTTGGGATTTTATAATATGAGCAGGGTTAATAAATTACTTACTGTATATTCAGTGGTGAGTTTGTGAGGGAATTTACTGACCATCCAAAAGTTACTGGAGGAGTAAAAAGATGGTTAGATATTTATCATCATGAGCATGATGGATGAAATCCTTCAGCTACTACTAATGGGATTTTAAAAATTCAGGTAGAAGGGAATTCATACTTATTTTAGATAAAGTATCATTCAAACAAAAAAGTGGATGATTTGTTCTATATAAAAAGCCACTTTATAAATATATGAGCTGGACGGACTCAGTTAGTTTACATATATTATTTACATATAAATGGCATAATTTGCATGAATTTGGTGACTTGTTTGCATTTGGTGGCAGTCCCATTTTTTTCTACGCTGTTTGTGATACTTTTGTAGGAAGATTAAAACTACCAGTTTCATGAAGTCTGGAGGAAGACAGTTAATCGATTGCGTTTGGATAATCACACAATTTGCTCACAAAACATGAGTCACCAGACACTAGTTAGTCTGCCAAAAATCAGATTAAAATTCCCCCAATTAATTTTTTTTGTTAGTGATGGCAGCCAATCCAATTTCTTTACAATCTAACATTGACATGTTTTAATGATCCTTTGGTATGGTGGTTGTTACTGTTAGTTTTGATGGTGGTGGTGGTGGGTTGAACACACCAGTCCGGTTTGTGTTCCACTCATTGTCTATAACAACAACAACAACCTCTCAAAACTTCAACTACCTTTCTATTACTTCCAAATATAAGGAATCACTTAACACCTAAAGAACTCCATTAGGGAGAGGGAGCAATGCTATTTCAGAACAGCACTCAAACAAAAAGAGACCAGCTCCTCCTCAGATGTCAAAGAGAAAAGAGAATCCAGCTGTATGCTCAATAATAAACACAGCCATATATGTATTCTTCACGCAACAGCAACTGTCTCAATATATTGCCTCAGAGATATTCTTAAATGTAGATATTTTGATATATAGGCATTGCTCTTGTCTCCTATAAGACATTTACTGTTCATTTCAGAAAAGGAAATACATCTGGATACTTCTGAATTTAGCATCTTCATGTAAATTAATGGGTAATTCATCGGCCCCTGAATATGCAGATGTATCTCAGCTCAAGTATCAGCAGCTATTCCCATTTTAGAGTTTAGCATGACTGAAGTATATAAATACTCCTGAAGCAGCATATACTGAGCCCATCTGTAGGTAATTTTTTCCTAGTTAGCAGGGGCTATGTACAACTGGGATTCCACATTCATGATCCAATTGAATTAAGGGAGTTGTGTATGAGCTTCTCTTCTCTAATTCAAAATTCAGAACCTCATTGCACCCTTCAAAAAAAGCTCCACAGATTGGGCTCTTATTCATTTGGATCATATCTGGCAACCTTATTGAGTATATCTGGAATACTAAGCAAAGGAGATGCAATTAAAACTGCTGCTACAAAACCAGCAATAAACATGTGACCTTTGATGTTTGATGACCTCAGAACTTCAAGCAGATATTAGAAAATATGGGTTGGATAATCGTCTAAGAGTATTAGTATGGGATTGGAACTTAAAAGTTGCTTTTACCTTTGAAACCATTGATGCAGGAATATTTCAAAATCTATTTCTATACTGTATAGGAACACAATCATCCCCCCTCTTCCTTTGTGTGTGCATGAGTGAGAATGAGAGAGAGAGAGAGAGAGAGA